TATGTAATTTCAGGTTTGCCTGTAAGTCTCTGGGGAAGAGATGTCATGAAAGATATGGGAGTATATCTTTATATTCCCTGCAAACAAGTCACCCAACAGTTAATGGACCAGGGCCTTCTACCCCATCAGGGTCTTGGTTTTGATGGACAAGGCAAACGTGTGCCTATTGAATCCTCAGGAAAATTTACTAGAACTGGATTAGGATATTTTTAAAGAGGGCTGTTGATCCTCCTGTGCCTCATGCAGATCCTATCACTTGGAAAAGTGATGAACCTGTATGGGTAGATCAATGGCCCCTTACAACAGAAAAGATTTTGGCAGCCAAGCAGTTGGTACAGGAGCAGCTCAATGCAGGACATATTGTTCCTTCTAACTCCCCACGGAATTCGCCCATCTTTGTAATCAAGAAAAAGTTTGGTAAATGGCGACTCCTTCAAGACCTTCGATGGGTTAATTCCATTATGGAGCCTATGGGAGCTTTGCAGCTTGGGCTGCCTTGCCCGTCTGCCATACCAAAAAATACTTATAAAATTGTTGTAGATCTGCAAGATTGCTTTTTTACAGTTCATCTAGCGAAAGAGGATTGTAAACGTTTTGCCTTCAGTGTTCCCTCAGTTAATTTCCAGGAGCCTATGAAATGATATCAGTGGTTAGTCTTGCCCCAGGGAATGGCCAATAGCCCAACCCTATGTCAAAAATTTGTAGCTAATGCCATTGAGGATGTTCGCCTTCGCTTTCCTCAAATATATATGATTCATTATATGGATGATATCTTTATAGCTGATAAAAATGAGGGCACTCTATTAATGGTTTTTAAGTGTTTACAACAAGCTCTACAAAATTCCAGTTTGATTATTTCTAGTTCAAAGGTTCAAAGATTCCCCCCTTTTCAATATTTGGGTTTTTAGCTTGCAGAACAAATAATAATACCCCAAAAATTGGATATAAGAAAAGATCATCTTAGCACTTTGAATGATTTTCAAAAGTTGTTAGGTGATATTAATTGGCTACGCCCAACATTAGGTCTAACCACAGGGGAGTTACGTCCCCTTTTTCAAATATTACAAGGGGATCCTGACCCTTGTTCTCCTAGATCATGGACCCCTGAAGCCCGTGATGCTATTCAACGAGTTGAACAGGCCATTGACTCTAGTCAGCTTCGGTATATTGACTATTCTCTATCTTGGAGTTTGTGTGTATTAAGAACCAGTTATCAACCTACAGCCGTTTGCTGGCAGGATGGCCCACTTTTATGGCTCCACTTACCTGTTTCTCCTGCTAGAGTAATTACCCCCTATTATGAAGCTGTTGCTCAATTAGTTAGTTTAGGCCAATCAGAATGTCGACATTTTTTTGGTCTTGATCCCCCCGAGATTATTGTTCCATATGGAAAGTTACAAATTGATTGGTTGTTTCAAAATGTAGATTCTTGGGCCATCGCCTTTGCCGGATATCTGGGAAGTGTTGATAATCATCTCCCTAAAGATAAATTGTTACATTTTGCCTCCCTCCATGCCTTTTTATTTCCTACAATTATTAAAACATGACCTTTAAAAAGTGCATCTTTAGTTTTTACTGATGGCTCTGCTAAAGGTAAAGCAAGTCTTATCATTGATGGTAAAGAAATTGTTTTAATTGTTTCATCCCAATCAGCCCAAATTGTAGAACTTCTTGCTGTTTTAGAAGTTTTTAAAATTTTGTCTGATGTTCCCTTCAATTTATATACTGATAGTCAATATACTGCTAGGGCAATTCCATTATTAGAGACTGCAGAGTTATATTCTTCCTCTTCTTCTAAAATTCATGATTCATTTTTATATATACAATCATGTATTCGTGCCCATAAAGCTTCCTGCTTTGTCGGACATCTAAGAGCTCATTCTGGCTTACCAGGGCCTTTAAGTCAGGGAAATTCCCGGGTCGATGCCTTAACTTGTTTAGTTAATCTTACTCAAGTTCAACAGGCCTCACTATCTCATAAATTATGTCATCAAAATAGTCATAGTCTTTATAAACAATTTAAAATTTCTCGTGAGGCTGCTCGTCAGATAGTTAAACAATGTCCCACCTGTTCTGAACATTTTTTGAGTCCTCATTATGGTATCAATCCTTGTGGCCTCAAGCCTAATCAATTATGGCAAATGGATGTTACCCATATTGCAGAATTTGGGAGATTAAAATATGTTCATGCTAGTATAGATACCTATTCTGGCTTTTTGATGGCTACAGCTCAAGTTGGTGAAGCTACTAAACATGTTATTATGCATTGTTTAAAATGTTTTGCTATGGTTGGAATTCCTTCTATTATTAAAACTGATAATGGGTCTGGTTATGTTAGTAAAGCCTTTCAGTCATTTTGTTTACAATTTGGGATTGTTCATAAAACAGGTATACCTTATAATCCCCAAGGCCAAGGTATTGTGGAACGTGCCCATGGGACCTTAAAGGTTCAGCTTAATAAATTTAAAAAGGGGGAGTTATATCCCCTGACCCCAGCTAATTATATAAGTCGTGCTCTTTTGTTTTAAATTTTTTGACTATGGATAGACAAGGCTCAACTGCTGCTGAGCGTTTTTGGCATCCAAAGTCACAACAGTCTTATGCCCAGGTAAAATGGAAGGATCCTCTTACAGGTTGCTGGAATGGGCCTGACCCCGTTTTAATCTGAGGACGAGGGCATGTTTGTGTTTTTCCTCAGGATGCTGAAGCTCCCCGCTGGTTGCCTGAACGCTTGGTCCAGCAGGTTGATGTCGCCCCCCGCATCCCGGTAATGGGTCGTTGCCTCCTGTGGATCCTCCTGATCAATGAAGTATCCGCTAAACTCCTCTGGTCCTTCGTGCCGGATCCCCCTATGGTACATCCCTATAATTGGGAAGATGGAGAAGTAATGGTCTGGGTTAATGACACCCGCTGGCTCAATGAACCTGCCCTCTCTCGTGAGGAGTCCCGCTTCGTTAAAAATTTCACCTACCATGGGGTTGGCAGTGGTACCCCCATCTGCTTTACCCATGGCACGAATGAAGTGGGGTGCATACAGGTACATCAGTTGATGTTGCAAGATCGGTATCGCCCTTCCTGCCCATATTATATACAGGAGATTAAATTGGCCATGCCCCTTGCTACCATATTTACTGCATCAGGACATGAAGAGGCACAGGACTTTCCGCCCTGTGGCGTTGGACGATGTGTTAATAGAACTGCCTCCTGGGAATGATGTGTGGGAGATCAACCATACTGATTCAACATCTCAGGCATTTCCAGCTACATTTTTGGATTGGTCAGCTACCTGGCCTGTTCTCAACCTAACTCAATCCATTCCGTCCCGAGCAATTTCTACCAGACTTTGGTGGACTGATAAAAAATATGGTCAACTCTATCTTTAGAAGTTGGCTGCCACCCTCCTCCCATTGGAGGGGAAGATCGGCAATGGGTCAGCCACGGGAGGGACAATGAAACAGGTTAATGTTACCATTTGTGTAAGACCACCAGTGTTGTTGTTAATCAGAGAGATTGAGTCGATGTATAATGTATCCTGTACTAATTGTATTTTAAGTAATTGTGTCGTTTCTCCTGTGTCTAATGGATCCCGGGTTATGGTTTTAAAACATCCTAGTTTTATAATGATGCCTGTCAATGTATCTGAGCCCTGGTATTCCAGTCAGGGCACACAAGTCCTTGAAGATCTTAAAAGGGCCCTGCAGAGATCTCGGAGGGGGGTAGGTCTGGTGACAGCAGGGATTGCCGCCCTCATTGCGTTAATAGCCTCTTCTGTGACGGCTGCTGTGGCCTTGGCTGAAACAGTTCAAACTGCACAATTTGTTAATCAATTGTCTGAAAATGTGACATTGGCTTTGGAGACGCAGGAGGATATTGACAGAAGGGTGGAACATAAATTGAATGCCCTACACTCAGTAGTTTTACATTTGGGAGATGAATTTGAAACCTTAAAAATGAAATTTAAGCTACAATGTCATGTGAATTATAATTGGATGTGTGTCACTCGAAAGGAATTTAATTTTTCACAATATAATTGGGAAAAGGTTCGATTGCATTTGCAGGGTGTGTGGCATCACGAGAACCTGTCCCTGGATCTGTTGCGCTTACATCAGGAGAGTGTTGCCTTGCAGGAAGCCGAACCTCTTCATTTTGATGCCTCAGAATATGCTCAACAATTTTTAAGTCAACTGTTAGATCATTTGCCTTCCCTGATGAGAGTCTCCCATATGTTAATTGGTCTTTTGGTGGTGATTGGACTTCTTTTGCTGATTTGCTTGTTGCTCCCTTGTCTATTGAAATTTGTCTTGCAGACCTTTTCCCGTGCCTGTGGAGAGATTCATGGCCTTTGGCTTCGTGCTTTGCCTCCCCGACCGGTAATTTAATCTGAGAGGCTGGCAGTCAATGACGGGTAAGGAGTGAGTCAGCGAAATTACCGACCTAAGACAGAGGTGGGATAAATTCTGTCCTTTCCTCAATGACGGGTAAGGAATTTCGCAGTGACTCTCCACCTAAGACAGGCACAGTCTTCTTCATGACGGTCATTTTTATAAAAATAGAGGGGGAGATGTGGAGAGCCAACAGCTCTGTAAGTATTAAGATGGACAACTTGGATTTCCTATGAAAGGGTTAAGTGAAATATTGTAGAGCTTGCTGCCCAGCTCTGAAGAAGCTAGGCGTAGGAGAAAGTCATAAGAACAGCACAAGGACACGGAGCTAGGGAAGAGAAAACACGGGACTGTCTCAAGGCCTGGGGAATTTCCAGATGTGCCTTATGTAAGATGTTTTCTATTCTTGAGTACTATAAAAGAGAACAGTAAAGTCAATAAAGTAGCTCGGTAACTGGGAGCCCTCCCGACTCTGTTTCTTTGTCTTTCTTTTCTTAATCCTCACTTCCCC